AATGGGAAGTATAAAAATGTCCTACACTAAATTTGCCAAAAAATTGTCTTTTGGACTTCTAAAATTTTCTTGAGATATAGTGATAAATTTTCCTTCCCCACACCTTTATTAATGATAAAAATGAGACCAAAAATAGTTAAATTTGGATATTGTAAATGGACAATATTTTCCCAACTACATACATTATTTTGGGCAAGAGTTAAAAAATTTCTAAAAAAAATATTGTCCTCCCACTTGAATTAAAAAAATTAAGTGAGACATCCATTTAAGATGATGAACTCTTTTATGTTTTCTTCTTATTTTATGATTTGTAAGGGCAATTCAGAAAGCAACTTCTGTTTTGATGTGCATGATACTGTAAACTTTTAAAATCCGTTTTCATTTAGTCATAAGTAATTATGTGAGGATCATTCAAAATTTGTCATTCTTACTACAGTGGCTAGGAAAAACTCAAAATAAGATTTTATTTTGGCTGTTTACTGCAACTCTTAGAACCAATTCTTACTAAACCTATATCAATAAGTAGCCAAATTTCAGTTAATAAGTCTAAAAGTGATTTAGTGAATGAGGAAATCAAAAAAAATCTGTGAATTGATGTACAGTGAAACCTCCTGTTATGGACACTCCTGCAAGACGGACGCCTCTCAATACGGACATATTTTTAATTCCCCGGGAATTTTCTATGAATTATAGGAGGTGAACAAAATAATGAAAACACTTGTGTACTAATACATTTCTCAAGAAATAATTAAAGAATCATTTTATAACTTCTGAAGTGTTTAGATCATGCGATTTCTCGTACATTTTAATGAAGTCAAAGCTTTTAAAGGCTTCAGGGACTGACAATAAATTACAAACGGAAAATACTGTTTTTGAACACTCTATGCCAAAAAAGGAAACAACAAATTTGAATATTATTATAATTATTTCGGTTATTACATGCAATGATTGCACAAAGTTTCATATGCCAGCTTACATTTTTATGGAGATATGGACATTTTTATAAGAAACTAGTTTTTTTTGTCATGTTTTTTTTTTGCGCTATAACTTTAAAAATATTCAATAAAATTTAAAAAATTTTTTTTGAGCATTGTCAGGGATGCTACTCGCAAAATATCAAATNAGTTTGTCGCAAATGGCGCAGGCGTAGCATCCTTGCTTTGTGTATTATGTTAGTAATGAAAGTAGTTCTTTTATACTGCGTATGCAAGGGGAATAAGTAACATTTTCTTTTCATAATTTTGCAGTGAATCCTATTTGGCAACTATTAAAAAAGGTCCAATTTGAATATCTTAAAAATTTAAAAAGTTTCAAGCAATTTTCTAAGCATTTTTTGAGCTTTTTGAAAGAATACTCTAAACAATCAGGGGTTTTCCTGAAATTTCATTTTGTACAATTAGACAAAATTTATTAAATAATTTCTACAAATATTATTTTATATCATAAGACTAAACTAAATAACAAATAATACCTTGAAATAAATGTTCATGCAACAAAATGAGATTGTATAAGGAAAGAAAACATGCAAAAGAAATTATACTTTTATGCGGGATGATCGGTCGTAGGCATAATAAATCTTGTACAAAAATAGTACAAAATAAAATTTACAAGATTAAATTTACAAACAAACAAAATTACCCCATCATTTTGAATTTACAAATCTACACCTCACCTCATTTTGAGCTTTCATATAAAAAGTACAAAAGCTACTGAGAAAATTTCGTGAAATTTTTAAGATTAATCAGATTTTTTCATTTGCTGCCAAATATGATTCACTACAAAATTAAGAAAACAAAAATTTAAATTTTTCTCGTGCATGCACAATATAAAAGAACTACTTTGATTACTCATATCTTGAGCATTTTTAAAATAAATTCTAAAGCAATAATTTTGTAATTAATTTTAAATTGCTCTAAAAATTTTATTTAACATTTTTAAATTTATAGCAAAAAAAATAAATAAAAAAAAAATAAATGCAACGAATTTTTTTTTTCTCACAAAAATGTCCATATTATCATAAATATTTAAGCCAGACTTACGAAATTTTGTGCAATTATCACATTTAGCAACCAAAATAATTGTTACAAGTTACAAATTTATTGCTACATTTTTTGGCATAGGGAATTAAAAAAAAACCTATTATAGGTTTGTAATTTATTGTCGGTCCTTAAAACCTTTAAACTTCACTGAAATGTATGAAAAATCACATGATCTAAACACTTCTAAACTTATAAAATGATTATCTAAGTATTTTTTGACAAAGTTCAAAAAACGCGTTTGTATAGAATTTTTTCCATTATTTTGCAGAACCATTGTATCAGCTTTTTTATTCTACACGTAAGAATAAATTTATAATTACTTACTGTTTTACATATAGTAAGAACATTTTCTTATTTAAAGTCACAGTAATAGTCAAAATAGAATTTTAATTGGAATTGAATTTTTTCAATCTTTGCAGTAATAATGCAAAATTGTTGGTACGAAAAGGAAGTTATAGATGTTTGTAAAAACATTACTTTTTTACTATTAATTATGTGTCAAAACAGATATCAACTATTTAAAGTAAGTTACATAAATAAAAAAACCTGCATAAATAGAACAATTTTTGTTATTTACACTTTCAAGTTACTGTTGTACCTTTTTTTCAGTATGGTCAATATATAAAAGCACTTGTGATAGTATCTTATCAACTTATAAATACCTTCTGCACAAAACTCAGCTACCTGTGAATACTTCACATAGAGGCAACCTCCCACTTCTTGGTTCATCAAGAATAATTATTCTTCCTTTTTTGAAAGAAATCTTAGCGCTAGTTTATGGAACCTGATATATTTCATATTTGGCTGGATTTTCAAAAGCAGTGCTCATTTTGTTATGTCATAAACAACATTATAATGCTCTAAAATGGATCGATTTAACAATGAGTGTGCTTTGTCTTCTACTACTAGTGTCACATCTCAAAGGAAGTTAGTTTTTAAAATTACACTCACATAAAATAAATTGTGTAACATAAGGTACAATGAAAAGATTGCACTAATTTGGATTACAGCTTCGATATCAAGTAAATTTTCAGTTTCAAATAATGTTTCAGCGAATAAAGCTTTATCTTGCTTGTTTTAGTTTTATATAGATATAAAAAAGTTAAATTATCCTCAGCTAAAATCATCCTGAACAACCTTATTTGTACTTAATTAGAGACAAAAAAGTTTAAAATATAAAGTATTTTATTTCCAATCTGAAAACAGTAATCACATAATATTTCAAATTAAAATAAATATATTGTTGTATGGACTGTATTTCAAGAATCTAGATTATATTGGCTTACATAGTTGATGAACTAAGTTACACTGAATGCTTACAGGCTCTGGAACTTGATCAATAAAAACCTGCTTTAATTTTGAAGTTCAGTTTTCATATTCCGTGAAATTATACATTTAAATTGCAGAAAAAGGCATATTAAATAAACATTCAACTTGATTTTCTATAATTTTGAAAAAAAAAAAAATTAAATCAAGTTAGTTTTTAGAACATTAAAAATTTAAGAAAAATGTGAAAACACATAATGGAAGCTTTGAAGTTAAATTTATTTATTTCCTATCTAAAAAGATGATGATTAGCCACATAAATGTTAGTGTTTTCGAAATATAGTCCATACAGTAAGAACTATTACGAAAAACAAGCATGACACTAACCTTGACATATATTTTATCTTTTCATAATAGTGAAATGAATGAAAAGCAAATGAATAAACAGTGGAATATTTTTTCACAAATTCAATATAGTACAAGACAGGGGTCATAGCAGTAAAATAAGTTTATAGAGAAATTTTCAAAACGCTTTTTCATCCAAGTGCAGAAAAACTTTTGTTAATTGCTTATAAAATGATCTCTCATTTCTTTTCCACAGAGAAATCTTTTAAAAAAATCACATTCTATTTTAAAATATTTAACAAAACTCAGATGTCAGTATTTAAAAGTATTATTTTATGTACCTCATAACCTGTTATTAATACCTTTGAATATATTTCATATTCTTGAATTGTCATAAATTAACATAATAATTAAAACTTAAACAAAAATTCAAATTAAACAAAGGTATGAAGAGAAAAGTTAATATCTAATGTTACAAAAACCCAAATAAAAGCAGGAAAATTCTATATTGTACAGTAAAAAAGAATTGTTCTATAAAAAGAAAAACTACTTTATTATTTTAGATCAAAGACTGATTTTAAACCTTTAAAATCTTGTAGAATCTTAACTCAAATTGTGTAAAATAGGCATTGTTCTTCCTAGAATGACATGATTCGATTTTAAATTTGTTCTTCTAAAATACTACTACTACTACTATATATATAAATTTTTTTGAAATAAGCAGTTTGTAAGTTATAAATCAATAAACTCTCTTAAGTACAAGACAAAATAGGAGGAGCATACTTGAAAAAAATATTTTTGCTTCAAACCATTATTATTTCTGAAAATTATTGCTGAACATCTCACTTAGAATGTCTGCGGATGATTTATTTTTATATTTGTATTCAAGGGATGTGTAACAGTATTATAAAACAATCTATTTTAGTTTAGGACAATTTTCATGTTGCTGAATTATTCAAAGATACAATTTCCCTTCGTAAATATATGCTTCAAAGATTCTCTTAAGTTCTTAGAAAATTATTTTAATTTAAGAAACCAAAATCATTCGTTATAGTTTTAACAATAGCACTTAAAATGTATAGAAAAAATTGACAATAATATATTACATAATATATAATGTTTTTCTTATTTTGACATCCTGTTTCATTTTGGTATTGCTGCACTATCAGAACATCTGAAGAACTAAACAAGAGAATATACTTATTCTCANTTTAATTTAAGAAACCAAAATCATTTGTTATAGTTTTAACAATAGCACTTAAAATGTATAGAAAAAATTGACAATAATATATAATGTTTTTCTTATTTTGACATCCTGTTTCATTTTGGTATTGCTGCACTATCAGAACATCTGAAGAACTAAACAAGAGAATATACTTATTCTCAATTATTGCATGAGTATAAAGTACACTTGAATAATAAATTTAGAGAGAAAATACTGAACATTTCTAAAAACAATATAAATTTCCGTGATTTACATCAGAAAAGTTTTGAAAAGTTGGAATTCTTTTTTAGAAAAGTTTTTCATTCAAGTGAAAAAATAAATAAAATCACATACATAAAAAGCAAAATTTTAAATGACAAAAGAAAATTACAGCATAGCATTTGTAGTTTTTAAGATGACTGATTGTTAATAGGGAGAATTAGGTATTTAATTAAATTAATAAATCAGGAAACCGAAAGCTTAAAAATAATAAAACTTGGGAATTAAGCTGCAAGCATTCAATAAAATAAGGAAAGATTACAGAACAATCCCTTCTTTAACTTTCTGAAGTAGAACATTGCATTTAATTTATTTGTAATCAAATACTTACAAATATAAAAAACTACAAACACACAATGTACAGAAATAGATATTAGTATATAATATTCCTGAAAGAAATCACTAGATTTTGTTTTAGCGGAATTATTGTCTTTAATCTTTTTACTATTAAATAGACACTCAGAAATGCCATTAGACTGAAATAAAAAGTGGATGATTCTGAAATTTACCCTTCACAGTTATTGATAGATTCATGATTATTGATAGACAAAAGGGTTATATTCTTATGAAATCTATAGCTAAGAAACATGGCTTAAAATATAACTAAATTATTAAACAAACATTATTTTTTAATAAAAAAAAGGATAGAAAAATTCAGAAAAAAGATGTCATATATACTTCTATTGATATATGAAATAAAGAGACTAGTGGAAGAGTTAACCCTTAAAATATTGTTCGCAAAAATCTATAACAATGCAACATTGTTTATAATTAAAAAGGATATGAAAACACTGAATCTGTGAAAAAGTTATTATATGGTACTTTACAGGTTATACAATTGTAATATTGAAGCAGATATTTTAACCATACAAAACAAAAAGGTTTTAGAAGGAGTTGAATATTTTATTACATTTAAGGAAATCAAAACAGCTACAACCCCTGATAAGAACAAAGTAAGTAACAATAATGCCAGTAAGCTTAAATGGATGGTTTATAAAAGCACAAAAATATTATTAGCTTCTAAGTGCTTGAAGCCTCTCTTGCATATCAGCAAAATCATCACCTTGTTTGGATGTTGAAGGAACTGCTGCTGCTTCTTCCTCTGTTTCTGGCAAATCTGACACAGCTGCTGGAGCAGTACCCAGTTGGCCTAAATATATAAAAAAATTAGCATATATATAAAACAAAACCAAACAGGTGTTGTAATCTGAATAATAAATAAAACAATAACATAAGTGAGAAATATGATTATTACCTCTGACTACTAAGTAACTTTATTTAATCATAGTTAAAAGAGTGAGAAAAATAAGCTAATCTGTAAAAATAGATTTATATTAAAATAATTAAGCCTCACATTTTCACCATGTGTATATCTCTTTCTCAATCATTTGAAATCGCAAAAGTCTCTCTCCTTAGTATTTCCAACAAATTAAAAAATTCCCATGAGTCATCATCATTAGAAATTTAGTTAAATCAAAAATAAGATAAGAAATTTTTTAAAAAAATGATAATTTTGCATATGTCTAGCAGATAGAAATTATTTTTAAATATGAAATTTGGAAAACTAATCTAATTGTGAATTTAAATTTCGTGCTTCACAAATTTTAGATGCCCATTTAACTCATGAGAGTATCACAGTGATTGAATAATCCCTATTTAAAAATTCTCATGATTAATGATTTTTCCGGACTGAGCCACTTTGTTTATGGTTTTCACAGAGAAGCAAAATATTGTAAGATGTCAAAATACTTTTAGTTATAAAAATACAAATAAAAAAAATTAAGATACAAGTTTATTTATTCACTTTTTGCAATGCTTTTTGATAATATAAGCTGACAGGGTGCATAGTGGACCATGGCTTACTTCTTCTCAATTCTTCTATATGTATTAATTAAATTGTACTATTATTTTCATAACTACCATTAAAAGAAAAAATTGTTTATAAATTTATTTTGAAGAATTCTGTTTTCTTTATAGATTTGAAGTACTTTTGCGAAATTTTTACATTCCAAATATTACTTCTTTTTTATAAAATTACATATATTTAATCAAGGAAATTGTAGGGTTAGGCTACTGACAATGTCAACTTTCATCAATGAAAAGGTACCCCAACATAGACTAGAGTTAACATGTTTTACATAGTAGTGAATTGGAATTGAATAATTGTAGTGATAGGCACGCTACAGTATTCTCGCACAAAAATTTAATCTGTGATAGAATTCGATGAACGGATACCACTAGTTGATTCATTGCTGTTTTGTGAGATGCCGGGAGAACTGTATTAAGATCACCAGACTTTGACTGTTAGTCGTGAGAGCTGTATTAAAATTACGCTTGTGTGCGTGGTCTCTCCTTTGTTTTGCTATTAGCAGTTGAGTGTGTACAGGTCCCCATTGTGTGTGATCAAGACTGTGTAGCAACAGCATGAGGACAATGTTCACTGTGTTCCATTCTTCAAAGTAGGCGTATTCATATCGAAATGGGCGAATCGAATTTATATTGAGGTAGGCATGTTCAGATCACGTTCGAAAGTCACCAATGTGGGGTTAGGTCACCTACAATGTCTACCTTCATCTATGAAAAGGTACCCCAATATAGAATCAAGTTAACATGTCTTACATACTAGTGAATTGGAATCGAATAATTTTAGTGGTAAACATGCTACAGAAATTCTAATAAACTGTATTAATAAATATATTAAATTTTCACAAAAGATGGACAATTTTAAACTAGCATTTGAAAGTTAATAAAAAAGAAACTTCTGAAATAATGTACACATAAAAATCCAAGCTATAACATTACCAGCAGTTAATTCCCATAAGACCTTATCGATTTCTTCTTGTGCTTCTTCCTCTATTTCTTCTGAATCATCTAATCCTTCAAATGTGTCCTCCATCATTTCCTCAATAATTCCTGCCTAATAAAATTTAACGAAAAAATAAATGTAATAAAATGTAATTAAGAAACAGAAGTAAATTATCTTAAAATTATAAATGCAATAAAAATATTAAAAAATGACATATGAAGAGTGTCTGGAAAGAGAAGTCAGAATGCATATAAAATAATTATGTATAATGCTAAATGGCATGAATACTGACTGAAAGAGAAGTTGACATCAACAAATTGCTTAGGTGAACAGTTTTTAATCAGCATGATAACATATAAGAACTTTTAACTAGTGAATAAAATGGGAAATTTGCATGAAAATTCTCCTATGAAGCAATGTTTTTCAATTGAATAACATGGGAAAACACGATTTGTTGAGTAAAAAACTTACTAGCACTTACAAAAAACTAAATTTGGATTGAACTGTCAAAAAATTAAACTTCAGTAAAGAAAAATGAAGACTGAAAATGTGGTAGATTTAGACAACTGGTTAAGACTGCGATCACTACTGATTGTTAACTTAAGAATTTAAAAGAAGTAGTTGATTTAAAAGAAGTAGATTTTTACACTGTGTTAAAAAAAATATATATTAAAAAAGTGTAGATACACTGGAAAGTCCCGTATCCAGAGTCGTTCTGATTTTGGTTAAGCCCAGAAATTTTTTTTTTATATTATAGGTTTCTAAGGTAAACAAAGATTAAAACGTGCATTATTCAATAAAAAATAATAAATTAAAGATAACTAACTTCCATTTTCATGCAATAACTTTTTGTTAAGAATTAAAAGATAAACTAAATGAATAAACTAAGATAAATTAAATAATAAACTAAAGAATATTTCGTATGATAAAATAAATATCAGCGATAAAATATACAGACATATAAAAAATGAAAAAGGGTAAGCAGAGGATAAGTTGAACTGTTTCTTTCATGAATAAAGACAGTTTTCTCTACCTTTTTTTTTTCACTTGATGTGAAGAATTAGCAGCACAGATTTTCAGATAAAAATAACATTAAAAAACAATTTTCTTGAACAAGAATATATGAATAAGTAACATAAAAAGCTTTAACAAATTTTTTCATGCTAATTATCTAAATTCTCCTTCTTAATTTATGATTAAAAATGAAACACGTTCTCACATTTATTATTCACATCAGGCATTTTAGTTCAAAATTTGATTAAAGCATGCTAGAATTAAAATTTTTAGCTTTTCATTTAAATTCCCTATTCTAGCAAGAGTTTCCCTAATTTTTAAAGATGGACGCACTTTGATTTTGCGTCACTTGGACAATCACTTTCTTCTCAATAATACTTAAATAAACATTGATGTGTATTTTCCAGTCTGGGCTAGTCATTCCAACTCGTTCTGATGATCTTCATCATTCATTCATACATATATATATTAATTCCAAAGAAGATAACTAAATAGATTTTTTTATGAAAACATTTATAATTTAATCCAAATCAGAACCTCAATTGCATTTCTAAAACACTATTACTAGCCAGCTACATTAATGTTCACACTTTATTCGTATCCTCAAAGTCATATCCAAATTTTTGTTTAACTGCTATTTTTCGTTTCAACAACTCCTTAAGTGTGTTCATTTAAGCAGAGCAATGTTTAGCTATCTAAAACACAGAAAGAGAAAATATTTTTTTAAATTTTACACAGAGATTTCTTTATATTAATAGCTAAAAAGTGTTCAGAAAAGATGCTTTCAGATATATGGGCTATGTACTGTACTAGAAGATAACAGGAGATTGTGTAACCAGGTGAAATTGTAGAATTCATCATTCATTTTTGAGTTAGGGACAATATTGACAAAATTTGTTAATATACCCATCAGTAGACCTTTTAAGTATTATAATTCAAATCAAAATTGTACAGAACGTTTCTTGGAATTTATTATTTTCAGAACAAATAACAAGTGGATAAATGGGTTTCATAGCAGTAAAGTTTAAAGTTCAAATTAAGCCAGAACTAAGAAAATTAATGTCCAGAAACCAAAATTACCGTTAAAAAAAAACAATATAATTTTTAAAATTTTGGCACACCAGGCAAGAATAACTTCTGCAAACTATATTAACAAACCAATGTGGAAAATTCCTTAACACTAGAACGGCCAGACCGGTCAATTTGACCGCAAAACGATTTGAAACGCGTTTAATTTTTTTTGGTTTTCACCGATTTCTGTGATTTTTTCTGACTGTTCCTAAATATTAACAAACATCATCCACAAAAAATTTCACTCATTTATTTTGATTAGTTTTCTTGTAAATTTACAATATTCCTAAAGCGGCCAATACCGGTCAAAATGACCGGTTTTAGTTATTTCTGTTACCGTCATTTTTAAAGCATCATTAATTATACTAAAATGAAAGGGTGTGAAGAGTCGAAAGAAAGATAGAGGGTGACCTTCAGTCACACCTGTTTGAAAGTAATCTGCACATGCGCGAATTTTTGGAATGTTCGTTTGTCTCCTTCGGAAGGCGTGCATCATATTTAGACTATTGAATTTGAACTCGGAGGTTGTGATATGTTATTTCTAACTAACTGAGCAAATTTACTGGAAAGTTTTCTTTCTTTTTTACATACATATCGTTTAGTATTTATCGTTTCTCTTTCTGTAATTCAAAATGTCCCGGAGAACTGTGGGAAAAAATTTGCTAACTCAAGGAGAAATTTTGCAGATGATGCAAACTATTTCGTCAGATGATTCTGGTTCTGAAGCTAATAATTCTGATAATGAGAAGGATGAATGTAATTTTGATGATGAAAAAGACTCTTTGTATACAATTGATGTTGAAAACTGTGGCAATCAAGTTCTAATAGTGATTCTGAACCAGATGAAGAATTATTGTCTGCTCAAAATCGGAAAAAATTTCAAGGGAAAAATAAATGCTGTTCTTTCAAACCAAGATTAAGTAAAAAGAGAGATAATTTGAATGATTCTATATTATCTAAAAATAACTCTTAGGAAGAAATAACGAAAAATGGAACTGTTTGGAAATATCTTCAGCAAAATATTCCCGGAAGACTGCCCAAACAGAATGTTTTGAAGGAAAAAAGTGGACCCACATCGTTTGCGAAAAGAAATATTGCCATTAATTCTGCAAGCAGCACATGGCGTTTGCTTATAAATGAAAAGATGTTGAAGCATATACAGAAGTGAACAGAAGCAGAAAGTGCGAGGTGCAAAAATATCAACTGGAAAGTTTCTTTAGAAGAACTAGATGCCTTTATTTCTTTGCTTTATGTTTGAGGTGCTTTACTTGCAAAAGGACTTTCAATTGATGCTTTGTGGTCAAAGAAATGGGGACATAATTATTTTCCCGAAACAATGCCAAGAAATAGATTCAAGGAAATTCTTAGATACCTAAGATTTAATTTGAAATCAATGAGATCGCAGCGGCTAGTGACTGATAAATTTGCTCTCGTTTCCGAAATTTGGGAGCAATTCATTGAAAATTGCCTATCCTGTTATAAACCTGGAGAAAATATCTGCATTGATGAACAACTGTTTCCAACTAAAGTTAGATGCAAATTTCTTCAATACATGCCAAATAAACCAGATAAATTTGGTATTAAATTTTGGTTAGCTACAGATGTGGCATCAAAATATATTTTGAATGCGTTTCCTTATCTTGGAAAAGATGAGACACATCCTGAAGCAATGACTGTTGGAGAGCATGCAGAATACAGACTGATGGAGCTATTTTATAATAGTGGGAGAAATGTTACAACGGACAATTTCTTTACCTCCCTGAATTTAGCTCAAAACTTGAAACAGAAAAGCATTAGTTTGGTAGGTACAATCAATAGAGCAAAAAAAGAAATTCCCGAAAGCTTCAAGAAAACAAAGGATGAACTTTTTTCCAGCAAAATAGTGCACAGTAATGGCATAACATTAACCTCATATCAGTGCAAAAAAAGAAAAAATGTCCTTCTTCTGAG